GAAAAAAATTGAGAAAATGAAATTGACTTTATTTATCATTATAATACTGTGTATGATCATTTTTTAAAATGTTAAATAAACATACTCAATTAGAACTTGACCTTATTTCTACTGAAACCGATCTCCAACCATTAATACCTAGCAATAGTTCATCAGTCTTTAAAAAACAAAACGTTCATAGTAAGCTATTTTCTGAGCATCTATTTTCAGAAGAAGATTTTCTCCTGAGCATTCTAATGCAAAAACCTATCGAAAAGTAATGTATCTTTCTTGTCTAAATGAGGAAAAAACCTGGCTTCGAAAAATTGAAGATTTTAATACATCAAATTTGTGGCAGCATATTGAAAGTCATCATTCTGATAAAGATTTATAACAAGACATATTGGAAGAATTTATGAATCAGAGTAATGCTTTACCTGAATTTTCACAAACAACCTTTCGTAAATTTCTTTCACAATGGGTGATCTCTGATAGTTAACCATTTATAACATTAGAAAATATACATTTTCGTCATTTAGTAAAATTGTTAAATCCACTTGCTTTAATTCTTAGAGGAGATACAATAAGAAATAATATAATTAAAAGCTTTAAAGAGGAATGTATAAACTCAAAATCTTACTTCAAAATGTTTCTAAAAAAATTTCATTTGCATTAGATATATGGACATCACCAAACGCATATTCATTTCTTACTATCACAACACATTGAATCACTAACAATTGGGAACTAAAAAATATTTTAATTGATTTCATTAATCTTTTGGGTCCTTATTCTGGAGAGAACTTATATAATGCATTTGTTAAATGTTATCACGAATTAGGAATCTTGATGAAAATATTTGCTATTACTATTAATAATGCTACAAACAATAACACTTTTATGAGATGTTTAGAGAATGTATGCAAAGATCCAAATATCCCATTTGATGATACTGAACTATATTTTAAAAAATCTAAAAGCAGGTGAAGCACAAACAGAGAATAATATTCTTGATAATTTAAATAAATTATTGAATACTGGAGAAATTATTCCAAAACTTAGAAAGCTCATTGTTAATATCAGATCTTCTCCACAACATCGTGAACAATTTGCACATTAAGCAAAAGCTTCGGAGCTTAAGGATGTCAATATTATTTTAGATGTCAAGATGCGATGGAATTCTACACATGATATGCTTGCATGAGCATTAGAAATGCATGAAGAATTGGATACAATTACAGGTTTAAATAAATAACTTAAAATTTTTAAACTTAATGATAATGAATGGAATAAAATCAAAGAAATCATAATAATTTTAAGGATATTTGCACGAACAACTAAGCTAGTTTCTTCAGCCAAATATCTATTACTTGCTTCTACAATTCCAATCTATAATTATTTAATTAACGAACTTGAAATGCATTGTAATAGTTCAAACAACTTAAGTGAAGTAATTATTGCGATGAATGGGAGCTTAAAAAAATTAAAGGAATATTATGAAATACAAATTATAGTGCTATATATTCTGTCACGATGGTGCTTGACCCATGGTTAAAACTAAATTATTACAAAGAAAAAAATTAGGATGCTAATTTTATTAATGGCATTAAAGAAACTGTTGTTAATCTTTATGAAAACAATTATATGCTGATTGTTCATGAAACTGATAGCGATCAAGAGGTTGATACTTTTAATGATGATGACCTTTAGATAATATCTTTGGGAAGCAATTGAAAATTGATCAGAAAACTGAAATAGAATTATATTTAAAGGCTCCTTGAGCAGCACAAAACCATAATATTCTTCATTGGTGGAAGGAAAATGAATGCGAATATCCACATCTAGCTATGATGGCCAGAGACTACC